GCAGGCTCCCCGGGTCCCCTCAGGCCGCCGGGTCCTCGCGGGATCTCCCCGTTTCTCCTGTTGTCCGAGGGGCGGTTTCGACTCTGTCCGAGCAGGTCCTGTGTGAGGGCCGGTGGCTTCGGGCCGTTGCTGAGTAGGACTCCGGGCCTCACTCACCCACGTCTTCCCTTGGCCAGGAGTCAGAGCCCAGGGACGTGTGCTGCTCCGCCACCTGGGAGCCCCGGGGCGTGGAGTGCACGGGGCGCGTCTGGGTGGACGCCAGGCCATCACGGCCAGGGCCCAGTGTCCTCAGGTGTGGCTTCGGGCAGAGAGAAGGGCTGTGTGGCCCTGGCCGGCCTGCGGGGAGGGTGTGCTGGAGGGACCGGCTGGCAGGCTGGACACAGGGCATGTCAGAGGGACTGTGGCCACTTGGTCTGCCTGTGCTGGGCTGCTGGCCCAGGGCCGACCCTAGGCTAGCCTGGCCGACTGAGCAGTACCCTGGACACCCTGCCCGACACCAGGCCTTGTCACAGGTGACAGTTACTGCGACAGCGCCTACCTGCCTCGGGCCTGTCACCCCTACCACCGCGTCAATCACGCACCCACCTGATGGAAGGCACAGAGAGGGCCAGGAACCCAGCCTCAGTGCACAGCCTCGAGGGGCCGCCTGGCTCTGCACCACCCTCTGCCCAGGGTGCGTGGTGGCCTCTCGCGTGCTGTGTGGTCAGCGTGGTTGGATTTCTCTCTTCTAAGCTTGTCCACGCTGGCTAGTTCACAGACAGAAGCCAGCCCCCGTTGGGGTTTTGGGGTTCAGGGATGCAGCGCTGACCCTGCCTTCCTGGGAGCGGGGGAGAGTGTAGGGCCCGCGCAGTGTCCTCTCTGACTTCACCCGCAGCAGGCTGGGCCTCTTGGGCCGCACAGCTGGGTGCCGGGTCCCGGGGAGGCTGTTTCACCTCCCAGAACTGCTGTCTACAGAGCAGAGGAGCGAGGAGTGGGGCGACAGCCGGGCGAGGCCCCTCACGCGTGACGGGCCCTGCAGAGCCCTGTCCCCACTCCTTGGGGGCAGGTGGGCACTCACCAAGGAGAGAAATAAATGAGATCGTTTCAGCTGCTGATCTGTGCTCGAAAGCGCGGGAGAACGGTTGGGTGGGAAAGCGGCTGCTCAAACAGGTTAGTTGGTGACAGTCGAGCTGATCTCTAATGGGAGGGAGGAGAGAGCATGAAGTGCAAAGGCCCTGGGGTGGGAGCACGCGTGGCCTGTTGGGGGAAGAAGCACGGGGAAGGCCAAGGTGGCAGAGCTTGGTGGGGACGCAGAGTCAGGGTGTGCTGTGAGGCACGGCCCCAAGAGCTGTGGGGAGCTGCTGGATTTATTTTAAAATGATATCACATTACTGCTGTGTGAAACATGGATCGGCCAGGTGCCAGAGGGGAGCAGAGGGGCCAGTGGGAGTGATGGGAGATGGGCAGAGTGTCAGGGTCGTCCTGGCTGCCCACCCTGCCCGGCGGCTCCGCCCTTCTCCCTGCCCAGCCCTGGGCCCCTCATCTCTCCACTCTCCCGCCCCCTGTGCCACGGCCCCTGGCCACAGGTGTCTGCCCCGGTTGGCCCCTGCTGGGCATCCTGTGGGCATCCGAGCTGAGGGTCCTGCTCGGGGGCTGGAGGTCCCACGTCCGGCACATCCGCTGTCCCTCTGGTTCCTTCCAGGCCCGGCCTGTCCCCCGTCCCCTGCGCTGCCCTTCGTCTCCTCCAGGGAGGGAGGGTGCCTCCAGGCTGGGGGAGCGCGTGCCACCTCCTACTCCGTCCTGGGGAAGAGCCGCCATCCATCATGCCCAGGGGGGCCCATCAACCCGCAGGCAGAGCCGTGAATCCAGGGACACTGCGGCTTCAGGACTGGGGACGGGTGTGTCAGGGCCTGCGGGAGGCTGCTGTCCCTCTGTCCCTCTCCCGGTGCACAGACACGCCCTCCCCAGGTCAACCCCAGGTGGGATTCTGCAGAAGCACCCCCCTGATTCCGCCAGCTCTCACCCGCACCCGGACCCTCTGCCTGGGAATTACCGTGGCTCATGAAGAACTTCGCTGTCCTCCTCTGCCCTCCGGGAGCCTCTGGGCTGCCCCTGCCCCGTGGCTGGCCTGTCCTGGGGAGGGAAGACGTGATCAGGTTAGGGTTTGCTGCAACAGCATCATATTGTGTTTCTAAAGCCCCAAGTAACGGTCTCTGAATTTTTCCAAAGGGCTTCCGCACAGCGCAAAGCCCGCTGAGCTCAGAGGCTGGCTGCGCCCAAGGTCATCTGTGATTGTTGAATGTCCACCGTGTGCAGCGTCCAGGCAGGGACTCGGGAGGGTGAGGGGACCCAGGGAGCTCAGACCCCCAGCCTTGCACTCATCCCTGACCCCCTCCTGAACACCTGCATCCAGTCCGTCAGACTAGCCCAGAGTGCCCCCTCCCTCCCCTCCCAGCTGCTCCCACCTCAGCAGCCAGCGAGATCGTTTTAGAAGGTCACGTCCACCAGAAGGACCCCAGCTCTTACCTGAGTGACAGGAGAAGCTGCAGGGGCAGTGGCCAGAGGAGGGAGTGGCTCACGCCTGGCCTCATGTCTCTCTGGCTCTGCCTGGGGCATGATGGTCTCCTGCTGGCCACAGGACCTTTGTGCTGGCCCCTCGGTGTGGAATGCTCTTTCCCGGGTCTCCTTCTTCCCGTTCTTAAGCGTCCCGTAAGGCCTTCCCGACCAGGTCCTATTTAAAATGTGCCCTTCCTCTCCCCGTCACCGTCTCGCTCGCTGTCTTCGTGTTCACTTGTGTGTTGTCTGTCCCCCCTGGAACGTGCGCTGTGTGAGGACAGGCCTGTCCCTTCTGTTTTCCCAGCTGCAGGAGGGACGGCCGGCCAAGGGGAGATGGAAGGGAGGGGTGCTCCTGGCCAGCTGGGCCTTGGTTTCCCGTCCTGTGCCCAGGGAGGGAGGGCGGGCTGCAATGCGTTGTTGCCAAGCCCAGTTGAGCAGCTCCGCCCCAGGGGGGCCCAGGGGCCGCTGGGCAGCAGAGGGGTGCAGAGGCCCGGCTTCACCCTGGGGAGGATCTGAGCTCTGGAGACGGCGTCGTGGACATCGTGGTCACTGTGCCTGGGCCGGGTGTCAGAGCCTGAGCGGCAATGGACATGCCTGTGGTCGGGGGAAAGCTGGGACTTAACTGTGACGACAGAGACGAGCGGGTTGTCACGAGGTGGGCTGGCACCGCGCGTGGAGTCCAGTACAAATGACCTGCAGAAGAGGCGGCGGGCGGGGGCCGTCCAGTTCTCTTTCCAAATTGGAAAAAAACCCCACAGTTAATTAAAAACGCCAATTCCTGACCCTGTGTGTGTGGCAGCCATGTGGGTAGACGGAGTGGACAGGGCTGCCTGGCCGGAGCGACCAGCCTCCCTGGAGGTCTGTGTGTCCCCCGTGGGGACAGGGACCTTCCCCTGTCTGGACAGCATGGGACGGACTCAGTTTCAAGAGGTCTCGTTTCTCTCAGCCCCGGTGCTGGTCCGGCTCCTGCATGTGCCCCTGGCTGTCGAGGGGCATCGGGAGCCCATGGTGCTGCAGGCCTGGGGTGCGGCCAGCCCACGGGGAGGCCGTGGGGAGAGGGGTTCACAGGGCAGCCGTGGCCCTCGGCAGGGAGGACCGGGGGAAGGTTCCGCAGGCCCCGGGCGAGGGAGACAGGTCCCAGTGAGCTTTGTCCAGCGGTCAGGAGAGGAGCCTGGGGAGCTGCCAAGCCTCGACCAAGGCCATGGCCAAGGTGGACACTGAGGGCAGGGTGGCCAGGCCCTGGGCCCAGGCCCCCGCTCTTGGCCTCCTGGGCCACCTCGAGCTGTGCAGGAGCGGCAGGAGGAGGGCGACTGGACGGTGGCCCAGAGTCCTGAGCAATGACGGCGCCGTTGCCCGTGGTGACCACAGAGCTCCTGGTGCTAAGTGGCG